TTATGCAATTATTACATCGAGTGTAAATATTACATAATTTTTATGCAAATATTACAACTTTACATATTAAAATTTACAGATGTAATATTGCGGCGGGGAAAATTTCCTGATGATTTATGATCTTCCAAAAAGATTTAAATATGATAAGGCAAGCAAAAGAGGGCCTGATGACTCTCCCAAATTGCCAATTGTATCTGCCGAAGCAGGCTTGCTCTGGAGTCAATGTACTGAGTTTGAAAGGGATAATTATCAATCTGTGCCAAAAAAGTTCATAAAATCGTGTATCTGGGTTACTCCCATAAACCAAATAGGCAGTATTGGCATTTGGCGATGACCAAACAATTTGTTGGCCAAAATGGTCAAAACACCCAAATGTCAACACTGCCAGTAGGAGACCAAAAAATCAAAATCAAAATCAAAATCAAAACATATTTTAATATTGATCTAAGCTCAAAAATTTTGGTTTGATTTCAATTATTTAATTCAATGAAACTAATCATGCACTTCAGAAAGATCAAAGTTAAATCTAGCTTTTTTAGCTATTTCCTATAGTATCCATCAGCCTTGTAATAATATATGCGGAGAACAATTCCCAATCATTTTTTCAAAAATTATATTTTGTTATTATATTGTGATTGTACCATGTCTGAAATTATCTAAAAAAATCGCAAACTGCACGAGCAGTTGACCAAAGATGATGAGATTTTAGTTGAAAACCAAAATTATTCAACATGATATTGAGCACTATAACCGAGATCAATTATTTAAGCAATACTCAGAAGAAGAAGTTGAGACGCTGAAAAAGGATAACACTAATTTAACTATTTAACTCCAGCTGAAGGCAACACAAGATGTAGAGGACTACCTAACAATTGTGTGGACTCAAAGACAAGATTTTGTCACTTAAACATAGGATTATGTACCAGGAAATTAAAAAAGTGTTATTTATATACAATAATAGAATAATTATAATTTATAAAATTAAATTAATAAACAATGAATAGCATTATGATACTGATCTAGATCGGTCGTCGAAAATCATTTCGTCGACAATCATTTCGTCGACACCTATTTCGTCGAAAGTTTGTTTCGTCGAAAGTTCATTTTGCCGAAAATTGTTTCGTCGACAATCACTTCGTCGACAATCATTTCGTCGAAAGTTCATTTCGTCGAAAATTATTTCATCGGCTTATGAATCGTACTAATGATAAATGGGGTGATGATAGTGATGGCAACAATATCGACATTGAATATTTTAGCATTGATAATAATTATTGTTTTTTAGTAGAGTG